TCTAGATTAAATTAGTTTGGAGAAAAGGTCTGCCTCCTCCCGTCTGCATTTGCTACACTATCCTTTGTGATAGGGTCGGTGGGTGCTGGCCTTGGGTGCAGCCGTGTTCTGGGGCACTTTTGAAATGGTCCCAAGTCGCTTTTCCTTGGTTGGTGGTGGGGCTGCAGAGGGGGTGACAATCACTACTGTCTGCCTCTCAGTGTTACATGCACCTTAGACATTGGGGGGGAGGTGTAGATTTTGCACTGTTGACCAGCAGTCTTGTACTCATGTCCCATCTGTCCCATCAACTTTGATAGCACTCTACTTTTCACATAGTCATTCTCACTATTAACGCCTCATGCACCTCACACAAAAATTAGGACCAAGGATCAGGTCCTCCGGCACAAACAGACTAATATAGTGCACGCTGTCAAGTGCCAGGAAGATTGATGTAATTTATATATTGCTTTATAGACCGGTCGCCACTCTGTCAATGATGAGCATGTACAGATGTACAGATCCTGATACCAGATGTACAGGACTGGTTTAAATGGGTGGTCAGAGAAGCCATTAACATTAAAAGGGAAATACCATCTCTAAATTGAGTAAGGGGGCTAAGGGTACATCTTTCACCATCTTACAATGCTGTGATTGCAGCCATTCCCCAACTCTCTGTGAATGGTGCTTTGATCAGTGGTTGTTTATCAGTCATAATGACAATTTGGATATTAATGATCGACAAACTGACCTCACAACCTATTTGTTTAAAAGGCCAGCAGTCCTGCAGTCAGCTGAGACTGAAGAAGTCACTTGGATGAGTGTCAAAATGTTTCTCCAACAGAACAGAATCAACTTGGGATATCTGTGTGTGTGTGTGTGTGTGTGTGTGTGTGTGTGTGTGTGTGTGTGTGCGTGGCCTGGGCACCTAGCAAGCAAAATCTAAAGATAGAGACTTGTGCACAGAACTGTGTGCTGCAATCTAGATGTAGAAGTTTATATAAACTTATAATTTGGGTAGAGAGATTCCTGTGTTGACTGTACCTTATTCAAGAGCATAACGACAATGCAAAATGTGTTGAACTTTTCTTGTTCTCTCAATTCAGGGGTGTATTTTGTTCGTCACAACAGTCACCAGTTGAGCAGGATCTACCCCTCAGGCCAGCGCCTCCATTCCTCCAACTATAACCCTCAGGAGATGTGGAATGCAGGCTGTCAAATTGGTGAGAGCATTTTTTAATATGTTGTTTATGTTGTTCTATTTTTAAGAGAAGCAAACAGAAAGTAAAGTAAAGAACTGTCACTAACTGTTCTCCCACACTCGCGCCTCCAGTGGGTAGACTAATGGACATCAGTGTTGGTCAAGTTACTTGAAAAAAGTAATCAGTAACTAATTACTGATTACTT